TGAATTATGTAGGTCAAGGTTTGGTCGCTGTTTGAGCAGACGGTAAAGACGAAAAAAAAATCTTTGTAAAATACTGTTCGTTCGTGGAATATGCTCTTGAGTATCGAATCAACTGGGACACATTAAATCCATATGCAATTGATGATGGTACATTGCTACATAAATAAGGGAAGTTGACGAAATAAAAGTTGAAGTCATCATGTTTATCATAAAGTTATCTTTCTATGGTAAGATATGCAAATCTAAAACAGATGTGTCAGATTCTGTGGTGCCTTTGTTTTCGAGTTCAAAGAAAAATATGGAATCAAGGAATAAAACTGAATATTGTTAATTGATGAAACGTCGTCGACATATCTAAATTTAGAATTGGAGGCCAAAGCAAGAGATCTCCTTTTCATGTAAAAGTGTTGGATTAAATTCTGCTACATATACATGTATAAGTATAAAAATAATTCTGTATTTGGCTCCAGTCTTTGGCATCCCCTCCCCTCCTTTTGCCCTCTATTTTAGCTCTTCAAAGTTTTTCTTTTTAATTTTTTTTGATTTCCAACGTTTCGGCATGAGCATCACTGAAGAGACATAATTTGTCGAAATGCGCATCTGTTGCATCAAAATTGGTACTGCATATAATTTAAATTATTACCCTTGTGTCGGGGCCTCTGTTGGTGGACTGTTATTGAGTACTAGGCGTCATGTTAGACATTTTGCTTGATTTCGTTCGACAGACAACGTCGCCATTGCTGTTGCAATCTTTCTGACCACCATAGGTTACATCCAATCAGCTAGCAAAATGTGCAAATGCAATCGGCTTCGGTAAATCAGTTTGCGTGCAGGAGGACCATTTGAGGTATAGAGTTGAAATAAAGACATTGTCAAATACGACGGTAGTAGGCAAGACAGCAATTTAGATTTACTCGTGTCGATGAGGAAGACGTCGTATTTGCAGAAGAAAAAACTGGGAGGTGCATTAACAATTTTTTGTCATTGTATACTGACCAAAGAGGAAAGAAAATGTATGGAAAGGAAGGAAATACGCCAAATTGATCATAATAAGTTACATATCATCTACATGTACAACAAGCATAGAAATCTCTGTTCAAACCAACTCAACACTATAAAATATTTGCACACTGTGAAAGCCTGCACACAACGGGTGTACTTAGGAAAACTATTTTTCCAGGTTTTTGTATCTGTAAACAGGGAACACTTTAATGTTTGAATAAAACCGCAATGTTTTAATAAGCTTAATCTGAATACAGAACACAATTACACAGTACCCCCTCCTTTTCTTTTCACAGTTCCTAAATAATTCATGCAGAAGTTATAATTTAATGCACTAGCGTTCACTTTGTTCTTCGTGAGATTATCAAATCTTGCAAGTTAATCTTCTCCTTCAATTGGTATATTTACATAAATATGATTAAAAATCATATCGGGGTTTTCATAAAATTCATATCTCAAAAGAGACCCATCAAACCGTTAAATATTTGTCTGGTATTCCCCAAAAAACAGCAATTCAATTTTCTCATAATCTCGTTTTTTGACCTTCTTTATGACCTTTAACTTCACTTTATCTTTTAATTAGATAGGATGAATCAACGATAACCACGAGTGTTAGTAACATCATTCTGCATAATAGATAGTGATGTATGATAAAAGTACTTAGTATCTATTACTATTAGAGCAATCCTGAGATAGTCTTACATTGGTGATGACAAAGTCCGCTACTTGTGGATTTTTATTTAGGGGAAAAGAAAAAAATCCTGCTCCAAGGATCGGCTTACTACATTTGAAATGATTTATTCATAGTCGTAAGTAGCCAGATTTACATAATATAGCACAAGAGTATGAGTTTAATTTTCCACAAGTTATTTAGATGGGTGGTGGAGGGGCGTATCCTCTGACACAGACGAAATTATTGATTTTTCAAGTTGTATATCCGTAATGAAATAGATGTGGTGTTTTAAGTACATAGACCGGTTAATTTTGGTTTGTGAAGAGAATAAAACATTATTTTGATTAACGGGTATATGTCAGACTTTTATTTTCAGGAGAAAAAAACTTGTTAGATTTTATTTCCGAAATTAAAGCTAATATTCGTTAAACCAGTACACTTTTTTTTTTAAGGAATGCATTTAAAAAGTGGGTTGGAACAGTTTACGCTTTTTTATAAACCGCTTGAGGTTTATAAAGTGTAAACTGGCCCTACCCACTTTATACCGTATAAATTGGTTAGCTATTAATATCATTCCTTATGATTTAATTTTCATTCATTTAGTGTAAGGAAAAAGATGATTGCCCTTAAAAATGACTTCAAATTGTACAAATTTAAATGTAACGTCAGGCGGATCGATACGTTTTTGACGCAAGTCATTGTGACGTAGGCAAACCAATTTATACGATCTAAAGTAAATTTTTTATCCAATCAAATGGAGTGTTACAATCAGAATTAAATTGTATTCATTTATTGAGTACATAACTTCCTTTCAATTTTAGACTCGGTATCAAATTATGTTCTTCTGTCTTATCATTTAGATAATTTTAGATTCAACATGGATCCTAGAAACAGTGCCCAAGATGTCGACCGATGTGACCTTTGCGAGGACGCTATAGTGCAGAAGCACTGTGATTTCTGTCGAGTCAACCTGTGCATCTCTTGTATAGGAAAACATATTTCTGATGACTATAATAAACATATTGTGGTCCCATTCCAACAAAGAAAATCAACCTTGATTTATCCTATGTGCACAACACATCAAACAAAAAATTGTAAATTTTTTTGTAAAGAATGCAACATTTCAGTTTGTTCTTTGTGTTCCATATTATCTGATACACATAAGGGGCATACCATTTCAACTCTTTCTGATATCTATAATGCAAAGAGGGAAGTAATTAGGGAAGATGCTGAAGAATTGAAAAACATAATTTCTCCAACATATGAAGAAGTAGCAACATACATAGAAACTCAGATAGCTATCCTAGATGGAGAATATAAAAAACTTTCAACAGCAGTCACAGAACATGGAGAAGACTGCCACAGAATAATCAATACCATTGTTGATAAAATGAAAGTAGAAATTGGAGAAATAAAAATCAAACATATGAGCATTCTAAAAAAACATTTGGATGAAATCAGAGAGGTACAATATCGGATTGAAGAAACGTTGCTTAACCTGAATAGAATTGAAGAATCAAATGAAGTGTCCAGGACCATACAATACAGCTCTGAAAACAAAGAATTCAGCAAACTTCCTCCCAAAGTTCAGGTATCTCTGCCAATGTTCAGTCCACTGACAATAGATACAGATCAGTTTTGCAAGTTATTTGGATGTCTTACAACATTATTCACCACAGTAAATAGCTACAAACTGAGAAAGCCAAAGACACAAACAGGAGAACTGCTGGAAGAAGCAGAACTCATCTCTATAATAAATACTGGGTATGAAAAACTCCTCGGTGTTACCTGTCTCAGTGAAGAAGAAATCTGGACAAGGGCATGTGAAGTAGGTGGGTACATACCTCTAATTATTTTTAGAATCGGTAGGAGAAGAAAGTAGTGCAGAAAAAATTACAAGTTCCTTAATTTGTAGACCTGAATAAAAAAAACTGTGATAAGGTATTAAATTGAGCCTCATACTTGTTGATAAGGAGTATGTTCCCTTGCAAAAAAGCTTGTCAGATGTAATTTATCAAGAAGATCAGCAGAATTATTTTATGTATTACAACACCAGTGAGAAGTCTTGAAATCCCCTACTTTCACTTTCATTTTCAGAGGTTAACGCAGACAGACGCATTTTGCCGGAAAACGAATCTGACATGCCACCTCGAGATTTTAACCAAGGAAAGACAACTTGATGTGCTTTGATTTGAGGGGTCACTCAATGCTGAACGAAAATTAGGGACATTGCTATGTGAAGAAACGTTAACATTGCCGCCTATGGGAAAACAATTAGTGGGCTGTACCCAATATGAGGAGCCTATTGGTAAGAGAAAATCCTCATAGATCATTACTTTGTTTTGAACTCATTGTTTACTATCATTTCCAATTGTTTAAATTTATGAAAGAAGCAAATTTGAATTTGTTTATACGTATTTTGAGACAAATCGATTTGTTAATACCCCCCCCCCCCCCCCAGGAACAGACAGCTTATGCTCATATCTCCCATTGTGTACAGATGTAGCATGTAAATTAAATGTATCGATTTTATACAATTTATTAATTCAGAGCCATTAATAGATATTTAGAAAAGGAACAATTATTTTAGAAGTACATCCACCACTATTGTTTATTTTCAATACACAAAATTTCACAAATGAGGTCGGAATCGGTAATCAGTGAAGTTCAAGGTCAAAGTGAAAGTAGAATGGCAGTAAGTTATCAAAACTGCTTAGTGCTACCTAGTGCAGAGTCTTGCAGTATGTAGGTGATATGCATTTGTCATTTTATGAAAGAGGTAAAGAAAAAAAAGGTTTCCATGCCTTATCACAATATTTGTAAATGAAAACTTTTATTTTCATGGAATAGAATTACATGTCAACGAGGACATACATGTGCATTCTTTCAAAGAAGTCGGTCAGGCTACAGTTGTGTAGAAGTTAAGCAGTGTGTGCGTGAACATGCACACTAACATTTTTTTTTAATTTTATTAACTGCATTACATGTATTTGTCTAATGTATAATTATTGTCAGTAAACATGCTTTTTACCTGTATTATTAATTTACATGTAATTTAACAATGCTGAGACTAATAAGTGCAAATTCATAATTTTCAATTGATATCAAATTATGGGCATAAAAGGATTATGGTAGGATTTGTTTGTTTGATGTCTGTCTGTGAATGTTTTAGGTGCTTTATGATGCTGATTTATTATTGCACCATTTTTAAAATTGATTTTTTTTAGGATCATGGTGATACAGGACAATGTCGAGGTTCATGCAGATGTGTTTAAAACTATCAGTCAGTAAAAACAAACTCAATTGAACACATCTTGAGTTCTTCACATGTAAAATGATGGCAGTACTTTTAATATGTAAGTTGAATTTTCTAAAGCTTCTTTGTGTGTGTATGTGTGTGTCTAGGGGGGGGGGGGGGGGGGTGTTAAAGCTTAGAAAATGTAGATTTTAAATATTTGAGCTATAAAAGTGACCATCAAACTAATCTGTACATGTATGCTATATATTTTACAGCTAATATATTTTAAAAAGAATTTCAAAACAATTACATTCATAGTGTTGTGTATGATAAAATATTAAGATTAACAAATATAAGAGTTGAAATTTCTTTAATATTTATCAGTCAGAATGAGCAACTTGTAAGGAAATTCAAAATTTTCAAAGTTCTCTTTCACTTTCCTACAAATTACAAAATGGTTACCATGGAAACAAAACATTTTCTGTAGACTATTTATTTGATCTGCTCATGCAAGTATTTTTATCATTTTATAGTTGTAATGAATATTTTAGTTTTAATTTCATGTTTAATTAAAAGTACGGGAAAAGTAACACTACATGTGTAATAAGCAATCCATTATTATGATGTCATTATGACATCATAGATGAGTGAACTTGCACTGGCGTAAAAATTGCTTTGAAACAGATGAATGTATACAAGAATATAAAGGCTTATAACTTTTTTATTGCTACACCAATTTTCCTTAATGATACATCAATGGACAGGAAATAATCAGTACTTTCTATTTTTACCACTTTCGGGGTATTTGTAAACTTAATTTTTTCTTAATCATGGAGAAACAATGAATGCAAGGGTGAGGGATGATAAAATTTTGTGCAAAAATGCATTGATTTTTTGAAATAAGAGAAATTGACCAATATGAGTTCTTGATTATGATTTTGCTTAATGTATTTAAAGTTTTGAAAGAGAATAAAAGTGGTATAAGTTTATTAATAAGCTAACCGATGACTTAAAATTTGGGTGCAGTTGTGGCTAGATGGAAGCATTTTAGAAGAATTTTGCATACAGAACTGTGCATGGTGTAAAATCTTTATTAATGATTGAATTTTCCTGAAATTTGGCATAATGTCACTACATAGTCTGTAGTATGACTTAGGATGTAAAATGTTGTAAAATCCAGAAAATACTTTTTCATATTGGGTACATACCTCTAATTATTTTTAGAATCGGTAGGAGAAGAAAGTAGTGCAGAAAAAATTACAAGTTCCTTAATTTGTAGACCTGAATAAAAAAAACTGTGATAAGGTATTAAATTGAGCCTCATACTTGTTGATAAGGAGTATGTTCCCTTGCAAAAAAGCTTGTCAGATGTAATTTATCAAGAAGATCAGCAGAATTATTTTATGTATTACAACACCAGTGAGAAGTCTTGAAATCCCCTACTTTCACTTTCATTTTCAGAGGTTAACGCAGACAGACGCATTTTGCCGGAAAACGAATCTGACATGCCACCTCGAGATTTTAACCAAGGAAAGACAACTTGATGTGCTTTGATTTGAGGGGTCACTCAATGCTGAACGAAAATTAGGGACATTGCTATGTGAAGAAACGTTAACATTGCCGCCTATGGGAAAACAATTAGTGGGCTGTACCCAATATGAGGAGCCTATTGGTAAGAGAAAATCCTCATAGATCATTACTTTGTTTTGAACTCATTGTTTACTATCATTTCCAATTGTTTAAATTTATGAAAGAAGCAAATTTGAATTTGTTTATACGTATTTTGAGACAAATCGATTTGTTAATACCCCCCCCCCCCCCAGGAACAGACAGCTTATGCTCATATCTCCCATTGTGTACAGATGTAGCATGTAAATTAAATGTATCGATTTTATACAATTTATTAATTCAGAGCCATTAATAGATATTTAGAAAAGGAACAATTATTTTAGAAGTACATCCACCACTATTGTTTATTTTCAATACACAAAATTTCACAAATGAGGTCGGAATCGGTAATCAGTGAAGTTCAAGGTCAAAGTGAAAGTAGAATGGCAGTAAGTTATCAAAACTGCTTAGTGCTACCTAGTGCAGAGTCTTGCAGTATGTAGGTGATATGCATTTGTCATTTTATGAAAGAGGTAAAGAAAAAAAAGGTTTCCATGCCTTATCACAATATTTGTAAATGAAAACTTTTATTTTCATGGAATAGAATTACATGTCAACGAGGACATACATGTGCATTCTTTCAAAGAAGTCGGTCAGGCTACAGTTGTGTAGAAGTTAAGCAGTGTGTGCGTGAACATGCACACTAACATTTTTTTTTAATTTTATTAACTGCATTACATGTATTTGTCTAATGTATAATTATTGTCAGTAAACATGCTTTTTACCTGTATTATTAATTTACATGTAATTTAACAATGCTGAGACTAATAAGTGCAAATTCATAATTTTCAATTGATATCAAATTATGGGCATAAAAGGATTATGGTAGGATTTGTTTGTTTGATGTCTGTCTGTGAATGTTTTAGGTGCTTTATGATGCTGATTTATTATTGCACCATTTTTAAAATTGATTTTTTTTAGGATCATGGTGATACAGGACAATGTCGAGGTTCATGCAGATGTGTTTAAAACTATCAGTCAGTAAAAACAAACTCAATTGAACACATCTTGAGTTCTTCACATGTAAAATGATGGCAGTACTTTTAATATGTAAGTTGAATTTTCTAAAGCTTCTTTGTGTGTGTATGTGTGTGTCTAGGGGGGGGGGGGGGGGTGTTAAAGCTTAGAAAATGTAGATTTTAAATATTTGAGCTATAAAAGTGACCATCAAACTAATCTGTACATGTATGCTATATATTTTACAGCTAATATATTTTAAAAAGAATTTCAAAACAATTACATTCATAGTGTTGTGTATGATAAAATATTAAGATTAACAAATATAAGAGTTGAAATTTCTTTAATATTTATCAGTCAGAATGAGCAACTTGTAAGGAAATTCAAAATTTTCAAAGTTCTCTTTCACTTTCCTACAAATTACAAAATGGTTACCATGGAAACAAAACATTTTCTGTAGACTATTTATTTGATCTGCTCATGCAAGTATTTTTATCATTTTATAGTTGTAATGAATATTTTAGTTTTAATTTCATGTTTAATTAAAAGTACGGGAAAAGTAACACTACATGTGTAATAAGCAATCCATTATTATGATGTCATTATGACATCATAGATGAGTGAACTTGCACTGGCGTAAAAATTGCTTTGAAACAGATGAATGTATACAAGAATATAAAGGCTTATAACTTTTTTATTGCTACACCAATTTTCCTTAATGATACATCAATGGACAGGAAATAATCAGTACTTTCTATTTTTACCACTTTCGGGGTATTTGTAAACTTAATTTTTTCTTAATCATGGAGAAACAATGAATGCAAGGGTGAGGGATGATAAAATTTTGTGCAAAAATGCATTGATTTTTTGAAATAAGAGAAATTGACCAATATGAGTTCTTGATTATGATTTTGCTTAATGTATTTAAAGTTTTGAAAGAGAATAAAAGTGGTATAAGTTTATTAATAAGCTAACCGATGACTTAAAATTTGGGTGCAGTTGTGGCTAGATGGAAGCATTTTAGAAGAATTTTGCATACAGAACTGTGCATGGTGTAAAATCTTTATTAATGATTGAATTTTCCTGAAATTTGGCATAATGTCACTACATAGTCTGTAGTATGACTTAGGATGTAAAATGTTGTAAAATCCAGAAAATACTTTTTCATATTGGGTACATACCTCTAATTATTTTTAGAATCGGTAGGAGAAGAAAGTAGTGCAGAAAAAATTACAAGTTCCTTAATTTGTAGACCTGAATAAAAAAAACTGTGATAAGGTATTAAATTGAGCCTCATACTTGTTGATAAGGAGTATGTTCCCTTGCAAAAAAGCTTGTCAGATGTAATTTATCAAGAAGATCAGCAGAATTATTTTATGTATTACAACACCAGTGAGAAGTCTTGAAATCCCCTACTTTCACTTTCATTTTCAGAGGTTAACGCAGACAGACGCATTTTGCCGGAAAACGAATCTGACATGCCACCTCGAGATTTTAACCAAGGAAAGACAACTTGATGTGCTTTGATTTGAGGGGTCACTCAATGCTGAACGAAAATTAGGGACATTGCTATGTGAAGAAACGTTAACATTGCCGCCTATGGGAAAACAATTAGTGGGCTGTACCCAATATGAGGAGCCTATTGGTAAGAGAAAATCCTCATAGATCATTACTTTGTTTTGAACTCATTGTTTACTATCATTTCCAATTGTTTAAATTTATGAAAGAAGCAAATTTGAATTTGTTTATACGTATTTTGAGACAAATCGATTTGTTAATACCCCCCCCCCCCCCCCAGGAACAGACAGCTTATGCTCATATCTCCCATTGTGTACAGATGTAGCATGTAAATTAAATGTATCGATTTTATACAATTTATTAATTCAGAGCCATTAATAGATATTTAGAAAAGGAACAATTATTTTAGAAGTACATCCACCACTATTGTTTATTTTCAATACACAAAATTTCACAAATGAGGTCGGAATCGGTAATCAGTGAAGTTCAAGGTCAAAGTGAAAGTAGAATGGCAGTAAGTTATCAAAACTGCTTAGTGCTACCTAGTGCAGAGTCTTGCAGTATGTAGGTGATATGCATTTGTCATTTTATGAAAGAGGTAAAGAAAAAAAAGGTTTCCATGCCTTATCACAATATTTGTAAATGAAAACTTTTATTTTCATGGAATAGAATTACATGTCAACGAGGACATACATGTGCATTCTTTCAAAGAAGTCGGTCAGGCTACAGTTGTGTAGAAGTTAAGCAGTGTGTGCGTGAACATGCACACTAACATTTTTTTTTAATTTTATTAACTGCATTACATGTATTTGTCTAATGTATAATTATTGTCAGTAAACATGCTTTTTACCTGTATTATTAATTTACATGTAATTTAACAATGCTGAGACTAATAAGTGCAAATTCATAATTTTCAATTGATATCAAATTATGGGCATAAAAGGATTATGGTAGGATTTGTTTGTTTGATGTCTGTCTGTGAATGTTTTAGGTGCTTTATGATGCTGATTTATTATTGCACCATTTTTAAAATTGATTTTTTTTAGGATCATGGTGATACAGGACAATGTCGAGGTTCATGCAGATGTGTTTAAAACTATCAGTCAGTAAAAACAAACTCAATTGAACACATCTTGAGTTCTTCACATGTAAAATGATGGCAGTACTTTTAATATGTAAGTTGAATTTTCTAAAGCTTCTTTGTGTGTGTATGTGTGTGTCTAGGGGGGGGGGGGGGGTGTTAAAGCTTAGAAAATGTAGATTTTAAATATTTGAGCTATAAAAGTGACCATCAAACTAATCTGTACATGTATGCTATATATTTTACAGCTAATATATTTTAAAAAGAATTTCAAAACAATTACATTCATAGTGTTGTGTATGATAAAATATTAAGATTAACAAATATAAGAGTTGAAATTTCTTTAATATTTATCAGTCAGAATGAGCAACTTGTAAGGAAATTCAAAATTTTCAAAGTTCTCTTTCACTTTCCTACAAATTACAAAATGGTTACCATGGAAACAAAACATTTTCTGTAGACTATTTATTTGATCTGCTCATGCAAGTATTTTTATCATTTTATAGTTGTAATGAATATTTTAGTTTTAATTTCATGTTTAATTAAAAGTACGGGAAAAGTAACACTACATGTGTAATAAGCAATCCATTATTATGATGTCATTATGACATCATAGATGAGTGAACTTGCACTGGCGTAAAAATTGCTTTGAAACAGATGAATGTATACAAGAATATAAAGGCTTATAACTTTTTTATTGCTACACCAATTTTCCTTAATGATACATCAATGGACAGGAAATAATCAGTACTTTCTATTTTTACCACTTTCGGGGTATTTGTAAACTTAATTTTTTCTTAATCATGGAGAAACAATGAATGCAAGGGTGAGGGATGATAAAATTTTGTGCAAAAATGCATTGATTTTTTGAAATAAGAGAAATTGACCAATATGAGTTCTTGATTATGATTTTGCTTAATGTATTTAAAGTTTTGAAAGAGAATAAAAGTGGTATAAGTTTATTAATAAGCTAACCGATGACTTAAAATTTGGGTGCAGTTGTGGCTAGATGGAAGCATTTTAGAAGAATTTTGCATACAGAACTGTGCATGGTGTAAAATCTTTATTAATGATTGAATTTTCCTGAAATTTGGCATAATGTCACTACATAGTCTGTAGTATGACTTAGGATGTAAAATGTTGTAAAATCCAGAAAATACTTTTTCATATTGGGTACATACCTCTAATTATTTTTAGAATCGGTAGGAGAAGAAAGTAGTGCAGAAAAAATTACAAGTTCCTTAATTTGTAGACCTGAATAAAAAAAACTGTGATAAGGTATTAAATTGAGCCTCATACTTGTTGATAAGGAGTATGTTCCCTTGCAAAAAAGCTTGTCAGATGTAATTTATCAAGAAGATCAGCAGAATTATTTTATGTATTACAACACCAGTGAGAAGTCTTGAAATCCCCTACTTTCACTTTCATTTTCAGAGGTTAACGCAGACAGACGCATTTTGCCGGAAAACGAATCTGACATGCCACCTCGAGATTTTAACCAAGGAAAGACAACTTGATGTGCTTTGATTTGAGGGGTCACTCAATGCTGAACGAAAATTAGGGACATTGCTATGTGAAGAAACGTTAACATTGCCGCCTATGGGAAAACAATTAGTGGGCTGTACCCAGGTGATATGAAATGTTTTAATATTCATGGCTCACTTATGAAGACAATCAAAACAAAATCAGGGGGATCACCAAATGATATAGCAGTGACGGGAGATGGAAATCTTGTGTTCTCAGATGGGAGGAATGGGACTGTGTATAAAGTGAAGAATGGACAGACAGAGGAGGTGATCAGACTACGGGGCTGGAACCTAACAATCTCTGTGTCAGCTCCTCTGGTGATCTCCTTGTTACCATGTTCAGTGATGATGAAACCCAGGCAAAAGTTGTCCGTTACTCAGGCTCCACAGAGAAACAAACAATCCAGTTTGATGATGAGGGTAAACCTCTGTATTCAGGAAAAAGCACAATTAAGTACCTCACTGAGAACAGAAACCTCGATATCTGTGTGGCCGACTATAAAGCTAATGCTGTAGTAGTGGTCAACCAGAATGGTAAACTCCGATTTAGATACACTGGTCATCCTTCAACAACTACTGACAAACCATTTAAACCTTATGGAATAACAACAGACAGTCAGAATCAGATCCTAACAGCAGACAGTGATAACCACTGTATCCACATCCTAGACCAAGGTGGACAGTTCCTCCGTTATATAGATAACTGTGATCTGAAGGATCCACATGCTATACATGTGGATAAAAGGAACAATTTGTTTATTGCAGAGTTTTATAGCGGTAATGTTAAGAAAATCAAATACATGTATATGAAGTGAAAAAATGAAATATCATTGAAAAAATACTATAGAATAGTATTTTCAACAAACCCTTATTACACTTCTTTCGATGGATACTGCTATCTTTACAAT